TCGGAGGGACCCATATCATCATAATAAAAAAAATAAAATAAAAAAAAGCTACCAGAAAACAATGATGAAAGCCGTTGAAGATGCACAGACGAGAGCCGGGCTCTGTCCCGACTTCCGCCGCCCACAGAAGAGTCTCCCCCTCCTGATTGGTTCCCAGCGCAGTGAAACCGGAAACTCCCACTAAAAGTTCAACCTCCCTTGCGCCCTCGAGGGTCTCGATGGCCCCTAAGAGAGAGAGAGAGTGGCCCCCATGTTTAAGTAGATCCCCAATATCTTGTGTCAAGAATCCCAGGTTCAAGTTTGCTGCTTGGCATCTTTTCTGTGTACGACGTAGTGGAGGCTCCAGATTATGTTGCTCAAAATGCCAAGTAGCAAGCAAAGAACCAAGCAGGCAGAGAAACTACACACAACGTTGCGTAATACCAATACCATGTACACGTTCAATAAATGCATCTAGGCCGACTATATTCGGGCTATATGCGCCCCCTAAGCCCTTCTCGCTAAGTCCTCCGACGTTCCGAATTGTCCATTCTCAGCAGCAGCATAACAGCCATCTCGTTTTCATTATTGAAGCTTGTGTCTCGACCTTTGAAAAGTCTGGCAGCTGGCCATTAGCTGCCCACACACACCCAGCAGCGACCCATTCGACAAAAGAAGTGAAGAGAAATACAATAAAACCCGAAATAAGTGGTCCCTCTTCGACCTGGAAATTTCAGAGCCATGTTGTCACAGCGACCAAGCAGTTGCGGAGAGCAATAAGAAGACATTTAAATGACATTGGGAATATTACGAATACCCGTGTTAAAACACACCTTGCTTGTATACTGTAGCATAGTCGGGCATAAATTTTATTGGAACAATTCAGCGATTTACATTATGCAGTTTATTCGCAACATGCATTTTGCAGCGATCTTTAGAGGGGAGGGGGAAAAAAAAAAGACGCGGCTCTTCACACGCGCGCGGGCCGATCGCATCGAAATGGTAATCTGTACATGAGCTACTGTAGGCTGGCTTATAATTAGGTACCCAGAGAATGTATATTGCCGACCTGGCTTACAGCCAAGCGCGACCCCCCAGGTCACAGTGTGCATCAATGGGGAATGCATTCCTCGTCTGTCACCTTTTTTTTTTCCCCCCGTCATTGCTCACTAGTAAGCTCTACGTTGAGTAGGCAGGCAGGCAGGATGGTCTGTCTCTCCGTCGCATAAGGACCAGAGAAGATCGACTTGGAAGAAATAGATTAAATATTCAGAATAAAGCAGGACCCTGAAGATCATAGCAATCCAAGGACTTCAGGGGAGAAAGAACAAGTCGCGCATTACCTATGTATGACATCAGCAGCAACGAATAACCAAACCCATGGACGACCGTTGATGTTGACCGGGCTCACTAGCTGTGGTGAAACCCAGATCCCGTTAAGCGAACAGGAGGGTTTAAGTTTACGACTCGTCTCTTTGCACAGGTAGATCTTTGATAATAAGGCACAAATGGCCATGGGAATGTACAAGATTTCCCCCTTCTTTTTTGCTTGTGCCCAATTACGTATTTCAAAATCGCAGTCGTGGACGATAGAATTCGTTTTGAGGTTTTATCCTCAAGCAATTGCTAAGCCCGCTGGATGATGACTACCTAGGTATCCCATGGGAACTGTGTGCGCGACATAGAAGGGGCATCGAATACAATTGTGGTCGCCCATACAAAAAGCTTGTTTGCTCCCCCATCATTAATTATGCCTCACCATGGTTGGTGTTGAGAGGTCCTTTCGGAGTAACAGGGTAGGGTGATGATCGACAAGCATCTAGAGTCCCTCCCCCTCAAAGTCCAAGTTTATTAGTCCAAGGGTGTACAGTAGCAGCATCATAGTACTCCGGATGAGGTATGTTGTAGGTAGGGATGTTTTGCAGCTAGGTGTGGACATGGTGAATGCGCCCATGCGCATGGTGAGATTCGTTATATTGAACTTTGATAATGGGGATAGGAAGTCGTGCCTCGAGCCGAGGAGGCGGGAAAGAAATGGCATCGCTTGCCCTTGAAAGCTTAAAACGAATACATGAGCATTATTTCCGCTGCGCTGACTTGCTCCTCTGGAATTGGGTTTTGGTTTGCGATCATATTGATGCAGCTGACCGCGTTTGAGTAAGCATTATGCTCACAGTCAGTCAGTCAGTTGGTCAATCAGTTGGACTATTTGACAATTTTGGCATATGAGAGGTCACTGGCCGCGGCTCATTGCCCCTAATAAGACGCAGTAGGTACTGCTTTGTTACCAACTGACTAGTCGTAATACTCGAGAGATTTGGCAAGCGATACATCAAATGGCCTTTGCTGGGCATGTCCTCCAGAGTCAAGCTGGTAGGCACATGCATTTCAAGCAAAGTAGAGAGTATCAACGCATTGAAATCTTGCCTTTAGTCAAATATGCTACGCCCCAACGCTGATGGATGAAAGAGAAACCGATGCAGTTATTGTAAACTCTCTGTCTATTCGTAGTACAGGCCTGACCTCTACTCCTGCTGCACTAGCAATAGTAGTAAGAATACATACATGGGCATTAATAGTGGAAGAAGCAGAAGAGGGAGAACGAAGTAGCACACAGGGGTCCCTACCATTTCTTTTTTCCTTTCCACCCCCTTCCCTCCTTGACGATGCTATCAGATCCGAGTCAAGTTCAACGATGCAGCAACTGCATGCGCAAGGAGTCCTGGCGATCTGATATGACCCGAAGCACCATCGTACCGAAACCACCTCTGATAGGGTCTCGGGCCCCGGGGCTAGGTAGCTAATGTAGGCCCGCATGCTGGGTAGGTATCTAAGGTACCTAGCAGGCAAAGGTATCCAAGCAAGCAAGTTCAGCAGCTCTGGTTGTAGTGTATGGATGTACAAAGGTAGGCATCGTAGTCGACGGCCCGGGGTCTAGTAGTGTGAAGTTCCAGGGAGGAAGGGAGGGAGGGCACCTGTGTACCGGTTCATTACGTCCCCAGTGCTTAATATCGTACCTACTTAGGGGGACGGGAAAGACGCACTCCGACTGCATGCTAACTTTTTAGATGGAATAGAAAGTAGTCGTGGTGTTTTGAACTCCCCTTCCACCCCCCCTTCCCCCCTCAAGCGCACATGTAGTGTACGTACCATAACTGTCTAGAAGCAAGCACCTCTAGGTTACATGAACCCAAATGCAACGCAACGCAACGCAACGAACAGGAACTTTGCCGCGACAGGCATAGATGGAGTATGTAGTAGCCCAAACTGCTCTACTAGCTAGCACACAGCAGGCAAGGCAGGAACTGCTAGTCAGATGCAGTCCCCATCTTCCGTCTCCCGGCTTCTCTTCCTATCCTTTCCCCCCCTCAAACCTCGAAACCCCCCTGCCTTGCGCTACACAAAGAGGGAATAAAAAAAAAAATTTGGAATTGATCAAGGAAAAATAAAAATAAAGAATAAAGGATAACAGCAGCTGCCCCTCCCCTCCATGAACCCCTCCAAGAGAAAAAGACACAGGGCATGATAGGGATTGGAATTCTTCACGTTCCCCCGTCTCACTGCTTTGCTCTCCCATGACATGGTAAAAGCTAATAAAAACCAGTGTGGTAGTAGTAGTGTAGAGATTCAAACCCTCCGATGATCATCGGGACGCGATGCGGCGGAACGCAACGACCAAAGGGCAAGTCGTCATCTCCAAGAATGCCCCGACGGGACCATTAATAAGATGGGTTTGTATGCTACAGCGAGAAACCCTACCCTCATATAGTAAATGCTAGCATCCCCGACTGGGATACCATGCTGAGGTAAGGCTCCTCGACGAGACAAGCAGCGCGATGACCATCCCATGCTTGACATCGGTCGCCAGTCCGCCTGTAAATTCAAGGCGGCGATCTGCCTTTCCATGTGGGGAAAATTGCACCTCTCGGGCGTAGGACAGACACGCCAGATAAGAAGAGTCGAGGCTAAAAAGGTCGGGACAACAACCATCTAGTGAGACTCCTCCTCCTCACTTTCCATCTTGTTGTCCATTGGAATTTCACATGAATAAAATGAAATGGAAACTACATGCATGTACACACACACACACACGTAGGCCCCAAGTGACCAATCAGGCCCAGTCAGGTGTCATTAGCCAAGGTGAATCAGAGGCTTCTCTTGCAAGAGAAGCCTGTTGTCAATTAACTGTAAGGTAGAGAGAAATGTGCCAGCCGGCCTATATGCTGTTATGCAACAAACTCGCCGAATGCTTCTTCTACATAGATTTCGGGAAATGACACAGCTACTGTAGACAAGATCTGTGACCCAACAACTGAAGGAAGATAGATCTCAAAGGTATAACATGATTGGAATGAGGCATCCGCACGATGGACGCGCGCGCGCACGCGCGCGAAAACAAAAGGCGGAACAAACATTTTGACGCAAGCAAGACAATCCGCCAGACCAACTCCAGAACACCGTGATTCTTTGAAGCAAGGCTTCCAAAATGTCTCTGTCTCTCTCTCTCTCTCTCTGGTTCTGCCACCACTCACATACAACAAAGTGTATCACCCTCCAACGACCCATGCCCCAGGATGAGTCCAGTCCGTGTCTTCCCGCTCATGACATGATAACCAGAACCCGTGCGTGCCCAGCAATGCCCTTCTCCCGTTCGTTTTTTTATTTTGTGATTGCGCCATTCGCCGATCCGAGAGCTGCGTGGGGATTGTGTGTATCAACTGTAGTAGGTGGTAATTGTAATACTGGAATAATAAAATGATGTAAAATGCGACGACGGACCCCGCGTATAAATACTTGTGTCGTCGAGATGATGTGTAGGTAGGTAGTCGAAAGAAGATTGGAGTTTAGGCGACTCGGAAACGGCGCTGTGATCTCGTTGAATGTAGCAAAAGAGCTAGTCATACCGGATCGTCATACCGGATCCTGAATCACACCCAACGAACGCAGCGCTCTCGGCAGGGAGGGGAGGATTTCCGAGTAGAACTTTGTCTGTTTGCTGACTTAGAGAAGAAAGCAGATATTTATAAGACGACACAGCGGCCGCTGCTCTTTTCGCCTCGTCTGCCCGGCTTCTTCCCCGAGGTCTGATGGGTTCCGTTCTCCTTGCTGCCCCTCGTAGGTGCCATTGGTCTCGCGGCAGCCTGGCGCTGCCTGCGTAGTATCCGCACCACGTCATAGAAGGCCTTTTCCACGTTGATGCAGTTCTTGGCCGAGGCCTCGACGAATTCGCAACCCAGTTCGCGCGCCAGAGCGTGTCCCTCCTGTGTTGAGACCTCGCGCTCGGTTACCCGATCGCTTTTGTTGCCGACAAGCATGATGGGCACGTTGGGTGACGGGGCAGCAGCGGCAATCGGCGAGCCAGGATAGGTGGGCGATGAGCTGACAGATTCCTTGACTCTTTGAATCTGGTGATGAAACCTCTTGATTCGTGAAAAGGACGACCGCGACGATATGCTGTATACTAGTACGAAGCCCTCGCCGTCCCTAATCCATTGATCGCGCAATGCTGTGTATTCCTCTTGGCCAGCTGTGTCTAGCACTTCCAGCATGCATGCTTGGCCATCAATGACGACCTGTTTCCGATAGGAATCCTCGATTGTGGGATCGTACTAGGTAGGGGGGACGAAACGGTCAGCGAAACCAACGACATTGCAAACGCGCCGAGGCAGCGACGAGGGAGAACGAAGATGGAGAGGAGAATGAGGAGTGAAGTGACGCTATACTCACAGTCTCGACGAAGTGTTGTAAGCACAGCTGAATTGTTAATGCAGTCTTGCCGACACCACCGTCTCCAAGCACCACCAGCTTGTACAGAACCATCTTGCCCGCCATGGTGGACTAGTTGGCGTGTATCCAAGGCAAAACTCGCCGCGAACGAACAGGACGGTATCAAAGTCGAGGCGAGGAGAGAGCGATGGACTGCGATATTTTTGCCAGCTCTTTTTTTGAAGGCTGTATGTGTGTGGTGGTGGTGGTGGTTGTTTTTTTCCTCGGCGTTGAGCGCAGACGAGTAAGGCGGGATTGAGGAGAGGGGTGATTTGGAGCGAGCGAGCGAGCAAGCTAGCAGCAGCAAGTAGGAGCGCAGGTAGCAGGTGGGCGTAGGCGGCAGGCGGGATAAGCTCGCTGGCGGAGGAGGGAATGGATGAGTGAGAGATAGAGAGGGGGGAGGGATTGAAGAGGGGTGAAAAAGATGGAGAGTCTTCAGTTGAGTTTGGGATATCAGGTAGATAGACAACTGTGATCGATTCGTCTCTGCTTCTCTCTCTCTCGTTGTTGACACGAGCTGGAGTTTGTGCAGGTAGGTAAGTAGAGTAAGTAGGTGGTAGTGAGGGTCGTCAGGTTTGGTCTGGTAGAATGGTGGTCCGCGGTACTTTGACGAATGAGTAGGTAGATGAGTTCCCGGCCAGGTATTGGGTAAGTTTATTGGCAGGGTGGGTGGGCGTAAGTAGGTAGGTCGACGACGGTACGGTAGGTGGGCAGTCCAGTCAGTGATGAGGGAGCGGTTGCTTGGTTGGTGCTGGATCCAAGGTATTCCCTCTCTTTTGCCTGGGCCCAGGTCGACGAGAGGCTTGACTGGACTGGGCCTGGCGACTAGGTACTGGCGCCAGTGCTTTGCTTGGGTGCCAGGCTGGGTTGGGTGCCTCTCTCTCTCTCTCTTTACTTGATTCGGTGCTTTGGTGCGTTACTGGGCTTGGGGCCTTTTGGGCTGGCTGGCGGGTTGGCTGGGCTGGGGTTGCTTGGGTTTTGGTGCCGTTACCAAAGGGGATTTAGAAAAAAAAAAAAAAAGTGCCTGTGCTTGATCAGCAGTGAGAATCAGTGGACTGTGGCAAGCGTCTCTAGGTTCTCGGCTCTTGTTCCCCATTCCTCGCCTCAGCATTCGGATTGGATTGGGATTGGGCGTAATGTGGGGGCGATGGGAGGGATTTGGAGCCATTCAAGTTGGGCTTCGCTCTCTCTCTCTCTCTCTCTCTCTCTGTGCCTTCGTTTTCTTTCTACTATCGTACTCCCTCTCCGGCTTGTCTGGCTGTGCTGTTGTCCTCTACTACTACTCATCTCCTACCTGGCCTGGCCTGACCTGACCTTTTGAACGGCCCGCACTGCTTAGTGTAGGTATGGAAAAAAAAAAATATAATAAAAAGTGGCTACCATGTACACTGCCTAGTTCCTTACTGCCCGGCCTTTTTTT